GTGAGGCGACAGTGCTAACCACTATGCCACCGTGCCGCCCATCATTATGAAATATTTAATTACTATAAGATTATAATAATTAGATATTAAAGAATAGTAAAAACATATTTCATAATAATATTACCTTATTTTACAATTTAATGGCCATATTATATATTTGTCTGTTATTTATCAAAATGGTATTTATTTCAAAATGTTGTTTTTATTTATTTAATTATGAATCTTTTGGGCTTCCATAGTGCTGATTGATTTCGTGTCGTTTCTGTCTTTTCCGTTGGTGTTCTGAGCCAAGCTAGTTCGCATTTACTGTTTACAAAGTAGCTCGCGACTACTGAGGAGTCTTAAAGAGACAGTAGTACATTAAATGAAAGGGAAACGCCAACTTTTAAAACTTTACTTCAGAGATATGAAATTAACTGTTGGGAGGGTTTTTAGCATGAAATAGCAAGTATATTTATATATTTATGGTTACTTATGACTATTTATTTGGGTAGTATTTAAATAAGCAATTTATTATTGTATTTTAACTATGGATTACAAAGGCAATGCCAATGCGTTCAATGCTTGGTCAATATGTTTACGATAATGTTTTCCCCCTTAAAGGGGAATATGATCGCATTTTTTATAGGGCTATAAACTATATAAAACCGTCACCTGTGACCTACTTTATTTTTGAGAATTATTTTCAAAATTTTTGTGTTGACGCAATATCCCGAAATACGGTTTCAAAGTGCCTGATTTTCACCTTCTGTCGATCAGGCCGCCCATTACTCCGTGACGTCACACAGTGAGATAGCAAGACAAAAATACATTGCGGACAATACAGAAAGGCATAGCGGCAGCTCCGATTTAGATTCAGATTTCAACGACATTAGCGACTCTGGAGATCGCACAGATATCGAAACTGATGAATGGAGATAAAACTGGTCACCCGCCGCGGGACTTAGCCAAATTTCTGAAAGCTGGACTCGGTTTTTTTTCCTGAGATGCAACCGGTCGCCCGCCATGGGACTGATGTCCTGAAAGCAGGGGGCTGTTTCAATAAACTTAACTTGTCCGACCGAGTCAGACCATCTGTCGAGTGAAAAGTCGGACCTTCGACAGACTATGTCCGTCAGGTGTTTCAATAGAACAAAAGTAGAATGTCTGACCATGGTCCGATGCGGGCGGACGGTTTGTCACTGCCCGCTCGAAGTTGGATGAGAATTTACACCTCAGCGATGCACTGCTTCGCTATTTGGCGTCCAAATATTCGAAATAAGTTAACGTTAAATGAAAAAGAAGAAAGAAAAAACAATTCTGATTAGGTTCGTCATTAATTACTATTCAGACATAAATAAACGGCGCACATCGCTGAAGGATGCCACCTTCAATTTCAGTAGGCTATTAATTGAATACAGTCAAGCTAATTAATAGCCGTCTTGCTCACTGTGCACTGTGCTAGCTATAACTACGATTGGCAACATAACAGGTATTCATCACACAAAGGACATTAAAACACTCATATCGTCACGATCGCTCATTTTACAGAATTGAGTTAAAACATTCATATCGTCGCGATCGCTCATTTTACAGAATTGAGTTAAACAGACGGGCGATAAGCAGAGCTCCACTCTCGGTCACACAAGCACCACGAATACGGTGTTTTATAACCACTGAGAACCATGCTGAGACCGCTCCTTAGGCAATGTCCCATCAGTGTTCACATAGCATGCATAAAAACAACTTTTTGTTGCTCCGGAGGATAACGGTACCAACGATTTAAAAGTGAAATTTTCACGTTGTTAATAAATTATGTGTAGTTGTTAGAAAAATTCATCCACGGATTTAACAGAGCCCCGTTTCTGGGTGTAGGCTAAATTGGTTTCGCGGGCATTGGTTATACTGTTTTTCCATTCTCGAAATATTTTGGGCTGTCTGCGCTTCCAGACAACATTACTTTCTCCATTAATTCTGAGCTGGCTTTAATCGAAGCCCAGGCGAATGTCCCTCCTCTGGAGAGCTTCCCACCATTCGTGCGGACCCCACGAGAGAGCCTAACAGCGAACCCGACTTTGCCTTTCATTTTCGCCCCTCAAAAGTGGCCCGTTCTCCGTGAACGCAGATCGGCCAGAACATTACGACCACCGTAATTTTGCGTCCTTTGGCCACTGGTGTCACTTGAACCCATCATATCAGATAAGTTAATGCATAGTACAGATAGACAATTAAGTTAGGGCAAAAACAAAATCATATCGCTTTAATATGACTAACCATTAATTACCAAGATCTCCTTAGCTAACAGCAACTATGGCTTCAAAATGTAAAGAATAACTTGATCTGTGATCGCAAAGCAGTGTCACCCCCATGGCATAATCAGTAAGAGAGCAGTTCAGTTATTCCACTTTTATTAACAGTTTTCTTATAACGTCATCGGAGCTTCCAGCCCCTGAGAAAAGAAATGCGTGAGAAGTGCGGAATCATTATCCCTAATTTCGATGCTGCTGCTCATGGTAAAATCTATCTTAATAAACGACCTTGCGCAGTGAAAATCCCGGAGAGTGCACCTCTGATGTAGATAAAATTTATCGTGTGTTTGACATAAAATGATCCTTAACACTTGTGCTTTATGTTAGCTTGTGCATATACATGAATATTGTTCTCACTGTATCGGCACGCTGTCATATTTTATGTGTCATGTATTTTGCTGTTGCTGGCTGTTTTAAAGATGCGTTCTTTCACTTCTTACATTCGCTGCTGACTTTATGTTATGTTACATCTGATTGTGATATTACGAGATTGAGAAACGTGCTGGTGGGCCGTTCACATGGCCACTGATATTTAATATCTGCATTAATCATGATTCACTTGTCTTGAGGAAAATTTGAGGACAGCCCCGTCTGAGCTTTCAGGCTTTGTCTGGGGTGCTGAAGTTGTTCGCGTAGAAACACTACCTGAAGCAATTACTATTGATGAATGTATACGATATTCAAATATTCGCATTTATTCTGACTAAATTTTATATGGGAATGAGGTTGCTATTATAACTGAGCTATCCGTACTTATTGGGGGAGAGAAGCATAAGGGAGGCAGATGAGTTCGGTTTGGGAATTATAAATTTGCGGCCCGGTGTAGGATCAACGAACGTTAGTATCTCACCGAGTACATGTAGCATGCTGTCACACACGGTCCATCGCGATCACTGCACATAGCCGTATTCACAGTGTGAACACTGTGTGGCTAGCTGGGACTAAAAAGAGACAAAACGAGAGAGGCAGTTCACTCTCGTCCTTTCATTTCCTGAAATGAAAAAGAAAATGCCCGAGAAAGAGTTCGTGCGTTCGTGTTGTTACACCCTCCAACAACACAGGTACGAGAGATGGTGCCTCCAAAGTTCGGGAAAACTGTTGAAAATAGGAAAATATTGGAGCAGACTCCAGTTGTTGCATGTACTACCAATGTTAAGTTTGTGAACGTTCACACTGTGTGTCGTCACGGGTCGAAGGTCATCGCTCTGATCTAAGGCATTTAGATCGCCAAATTTACCAATTTCGAGTTAGGAAATTGGGGGAAAAAAATATATTGGCGATTTTTTACACCATCAAGGTGTATATAAACGTATACATAGGTTTGGCGGTAACATTCCCCTTTAAATACGAACTTTTAAATGCTATTCAAAAAAAAAAAAAACAAAAAAACATGGAGTTTATTTTCAGTCTTCTTTCATAATCTGATGAACAAAAGGTCAAAACGATACACGGAATTATCGAGAATTGAGATTTTTTCTAATTAATTATTAAGATTTCCATGCTTGCAGTCTCAAATCAAAGCGTAAATGTAAATGAATCTTTTTGTCATTATCACCTCTTAATCATTACAGGTTACATATAGGCTGGGTCTTAATTGTCCGGTAAAAAAAAAAAAAAGAAGTAAAAATTGATTGATTTCAATCAGGCATAGTATGTAGAAACAAGTTGACAAAATTCAGGAATAAAAGGTGAAGTCACTGCCTCCCCTATCCGCACGTCTCTGGAACCTACTGAATGGCCTGATGTCGAGTTTGGTGATTTTCATGTCGACCTGACAAGTGTACCAGGCATGCAAAGATGAATCAAGATGAATCAGTGTTTTTACTCACTGTAGCTATCTTGTATATCGCACATGCTACGCCAAAAAAAAAATAAAAAAATAAAAAAATCGGTCTGTGGGATTAATGAGTTTAGCACCGTAGCACCAGAAGAGACTGAAACAAATGCAGAAACATAGCCAAATAAAATTAAGGGTGAACCGAAGGGGGAAATTATGGGACTGCACAGTCAGGCTGAGAGTCGTTATGACGCAAATGTGAAGTCTATTTTCGCTATACTATACACTATCATATCACTATCATATGTACATCATAAAATGACTTGTGCAGTCAGAATGGCAAGTCCTCAGACTTTTGAACGATGTAGTTCTACAACATAGAATTTTTTACGGTATAAAAACGCAAGTATGCTTAGCGGTCCATCCCCGTGCCGATGTTTGTAAAAGGGTTAATCATGTTTCTGATTTCAAACGTTGTTCTTATTAGTGCTGAATGCTGAGTGAGTATAAAGCAATGCTATTTACCATTTGCAAAATGGTCTGGATATATAGTACTTTTAGACGGGCTCCAATGTCACCCACCCTCTTTCATTCTGTAGATGGCTGACAGAGCTTATCTCATCTGTCAGGGCTCTTGGTTGACTGCAAGCAAACCATTCATATGCAAGCAGATGATCATATTCAACACTGAGAGAGAGAGATAAACTTTATTGAACCCCGTGGGGTAATTAGTTCTCTGCATTTGACCCATCCTATAGTTAGGATGGGTGGGCAACCGAACAGAGCAGCGCCCGGAGACCAACTCCAGTTCCACAGCCAGTTCCTTGGTCAGGGGTACTGGCAGGAGTGTTCCTATGATGCATGTTTTTGTGGGTGGGGGGAAACCGGAGCACCCGGAGGAAACACAGGGAAAACATGCAAACTCCACACAGAAAAGCCCCAAGCCGGGATCGAACCCATGATCTTCTTGCTGTGAGGTGCCAGTGCTAACCATTACACCACTGGGCCGCCCACACAACAGCAAGTTTTTAGCTGCCAAGATGGCTACATCCAAAGCGCAACGTAGCCTCAAGCGCGATGGCACACAATACATAGCAGCCTAGCCATCATGACATTATCATTAAGCCTCCGTGCGTACAAGCACTACCCAGAAGCTGATTGGTTGGTATGCAAATAAGGAACATGGTTTCCGCTCGCGCCCCTAATGAGTGACGTCCTAGCGGAAGACCCGCCTTGATGAGACGCTGACAGATTGCATTTTAATTTTCATTGTGTCCCAAAAAGAGCGTGGTGACATGTATTTGAAAATGCAATGGACTGGGAGGCGCTGTTTCCGTTACTGCATTTGAATATTGTCCCATGTATTGCAGGATAAGTCTTTCCACCCAATATGGCCGATTTCCTGTTGGGTTTAGGGTGGGGCCATATGTAATTTTTAACTTGTCCCAACATGGGCTATGTCTCTACCAAGTTTCATTTTTCTTCGTGGAAAAAAGTTTGGGGTGGGCTGCCATTAGCATAATGTATTTTGATTTTTGACAGGGCGGGGCCAAGTCATTTTTCAATATTTTTTCCTGAGGACTTCAAATAAAGAATTTTTTTTTGCCGGGCTTGAATTTTCAGTCGAATAAAATTGACTTTTTGTTTATGTTCTCAAGGGGTCAAAGCTAAAACCCCATTCATTTCAATTGCTCATTTTTGTTGTTGCCATGGGAACACAATTAAAAATAGGGGAGTGTCCTCATCTGCTTTTTGGTTCAGTGTGACATGATAGATGTGTGTACCAAATTTTGTGTAACTATTTCAAAAAATTTTTTTTTTCCCATTTAAAAATTGTAGGGGGCGTTAACGAGCCATTTTGCCATACAGCTATACGAGTTACATATTATTGTGTTCAGATAGTCATTCCACGCAGATGTTACATTGGGTCCAACTCAATCCGACATTGTATGCGTGAGATATACATACTTTTATACTTCTGAAAATGGCCGCTTCGTTGTAAACTCATCACAGCTACGCCCAACATTTTATCAAAAATGTAAATAGTAACTTTTGACCACACATTTGTGTAGGTGATTTTCACCAAGATTGGTGCAAATTGGAAGAAAACCCTAGGAAGAGATGTTGAAAGTATGCGGGGTGTGATTTTATATGTCCACTCTTCCGCCCAATATGGCCGACTTCCTGTCGGGTTTAGGGTGGGGCCATAATGTAATTTTTCACTTGGCCCAACATGGGCTATGTCTCTACCAAGATTCATTCTTCTACATGGAAAAAAGTTTGGGGTGGGCTCCCATTAGCGTAATGTATTTTGATTTTTAACAGGGCGTGGCCAAGTCATTTTTCAATATTTTTTCTTGGGGACTTCAAATAAAAAAATTTTTCACCAGGCTTGAATTTTTGGTCAAATAAATTTGACTTTTCGTTAATGTTCATGGGGTCAAATTTGCGTTCAAAGTGCGGAAAGGATAATAATAATAATAATAATAATAATAATAACGGAACCATTCGGTTTTAATAGGCCCTCACCAGCTTCGGCCAGGCTCAGGCCTAATAATAATAATAATAATAGTGTTTATTGATTCCCAAATGGGTTTGAAAGCCTTTATTCAACAGTATATAGGCAAACAGCAAGAATAGCTTATGCATACCAGGCGGAATGGGCAGAAAATGCCACTTTTTGGGTTCTTTTTTTCATTTTCAAGGGGAGGGGGTTTATTTTCAAGATACAGAGTTATTTTTGGTGTCAAAGTTCTTGTATTGATAGTGTTAATGAAGTCCCAAATGGGTATGTTGAAATTTTGAACTTGATGATTAAATTGTGATGGAAATTTTGTGCGGGAAGTTTAAACGGTGATAAATCTAATATGTACAGTACATCAAAATATCAATGCGCACGAGTATACTTATGTTTCAGAGATTCCCGGTCAATATTCTGGCTTCATGCATGATTTCTCGGAAGTCCTTTCTGAATTAGTTTTAAGCTATGATAGAATTGTTATTTTGGGTGACTTTAACCTGCATTTCGAGAGGGTAGATGATTCTTCAACATCCATCTTCACTAATCTTGTGGAATCGGTTGGCTTCACTCAGAGTGTCATTGGCCCAACACACATTCATGGTCACACTTTAGACCTGATTTTAAGCTTTGGTGTTGAGATTGCCAAGGTTGACATCCATTCACACAATCCCAGTTTATCGGACCATTTTCTTTTAACATCCTGTCTACAATTGGCCCCCTCTGTATTATCAGAAACTAGGATGTACACAAGTCGTACATTTACTGCCACAACGTCTTCACAATTCATTGAAGCACTACCAACTTATCTTGATTATCCAGCCAGGCCCCTCTGTATTAACGAAATGGCAGATAAGTTTGCTAATGCTCTCCGTAGTACCCTAGATGTAGTTGCCCCATTGAAATTTAAAAAGGCTACTCAGAAGAAGAGACCAGCCCCATGGTACACTGACCAGACTCGGACTCTAAAGCAAAAATCCCGTCAACTAGAACGCAAATGGCGCTCCACTAAACTCCAGGTGTTCCATTGTGCTTGGAAAGAGAGCCTTGTTGTGTATAAGCATGCTTTGTCTGTTGCTAGGTCTTCTTATTTTGCAAATCTTATACAGGAAAATAAAAATGACCCTCGATTCTTGTTCAAAACAGTGGCCAAATTAACAAACAACCATGCGGCAAGTACCCCTCAAATTCCAGCCTCCTGCAGCAGTAATGATTTTTTAAAATTCTTTAGTGGCAAAATAATTGAAATTAGAGAAAATATCATTGCTTCCCTAGCAGTTGGTGAAGGCCTTAACTTAAAACCTCATGCTATGCATATAAACCAATTTGATTCATTCTCTCCCATATCCCTGAGCGAACTTGCCAAACTAGTCACTAATTCCAAATCAACAACCTGTCTCTTAGATCCCATCCCAAGTAAGTTACTGAAGGAACTCCTGCCCATGCTTGGCAGTCCAATTCTGCACATAATCAATTCTTCCCTGATTTCAGGTTTGGTTCCGACTTCATTTAAGATTGCTGAAATTAAGCCTCTACTCAAAAAACCAAATTTAGATCCAACAGTTTTGGCTAATTATAGGCCGATCTCAAACCTTCCATTTCTACCCAAGATCCTTGAGAAATGTGTTGCCCAACAGCTTACTTTCCTCCTGCAAGTGAATAAGGTACATGAGAGGTTTCAGTCTGGCTTTAGAAAACATCATAGCACTGAAACAGCCCTCACTGTAGTAATGAATGATCTGCTTCTCTCCATGGACTGTGGCCGCATCTCTGTCCTTGTACTACTTGACCTAAGTGCTGCCTTCGACACAACAGACCACCATATTCTTCTTCACAGGCTAGAAAATCTGGTTGGTATTTCTGGACTCGCCCTTTCATGGTTTGAATCTAATCTTTCTGATAGATGTCAGTTTGTTAGATTAAATGGTAATTCTTCCCAGCATTCCAAGGTGAACTTTGGAATACCTCAAGGATCTGTTCTGGGCCCTCTGCTGTTTTCCTTATACATGCTTCCCCTCGGAAGCATCGTAAGTAGATATGATGTGAAGTACCACTGTTATGCAGATGACACACAGCTTTATATATCTTTTAAGCCAGGTGAAATTGATCCACTAACTAGATTAGAGATGTGTCTTAAAGCTGTTAAAGCATGGATGACACAGAATTTTCTCTCTTTAAATCCAGATAAGACTGAAATATTGGTAATTGGTCCCAAATTGCCCAGAGACACATTCCTCAAGTTTTCCCTCAACGTTGATGGACTCCCGGTTTCTGCCAAAGTTGTTGTCAAAAACCTTGGTGTCACCCTTGATTCAGAACTCTCTCTCCACTGTCATATTAATAACATCATAAAAGTGGCTTTCTTCCATCTTAGAAATATATCTAAGCTGAGAAAAATGTTGTCTCTTCAGGACCTTGAAAAAAATGGTTCATGCATTTGTGTCCTCTCGGCTGGATTACTGTAACGTTTTACTGTCAGGCTGCACCAGTTCTACCCTGAATCGCCTTCAAATAGTGCAGAATGCTGCTGTTAGGGTTCTGACCAGGACGAAGAAATATGCCCACATTAGCCCAGTACTCAAAAATCTTCACTGGCTGCCTGTCAAATTTAGAATTGAATATAAAATTCTACTGCTTACCTACAAAGCCTTAAATGATTTGGCCCCGGAATATCTTAGTGCACTTCTCGTTCCTTACTCCCCTCCAAGATTACTTCGTTCACAAGGTGCTGGATATTTAAAAATTCCAAATATATCTAGAGTTACATTTGGAGGCAGAGCATTCTCCTACAAAGCCCCAATCTTGTGGAACAATCTCCCAACAAACATTCGAGCCTCAGACACACTTTCTGTGTTCAAGAGTAGGCTAAAAACTTACCTTTTTAGTCAAGCCTATGATTAGTTCATGATTAGTTAAGTATAAACATTTACCTGGCTCTGATAGGACTGACTAAAACCTAGTTTCATGATGGGTTCACAAGATATTGGAAGCCAGAGTTAAGTAAATCCATGTGGAACCGGTGGCACTGAGCATGCATTAACGGTGCCAGTGGGGCTTGCTACAGCCTTAGTCACCGGGGAGGTCCATATGGTACTGGTGGTAGTGTTAAGTAAATCCATGTGGAACCGGTGGCACTGAGCATGCATCAACGGTGCCAGTGGGGCTTGCTACAGCCTTAGTCACCGGGGAGGTCCATATGGTACTGGTGGTAGTGTTAAGTAAATCCATGTGGAACCAGTGGCATTGAGCATGCATTAACGGTGCCAGTGGGGCTTGCTACAGCCTCAGTCACCGGGGAGGTCCATATGGTATTGGTGGTAGTGTTAAGCAAATCCATGTGGAACCGGTGGCACTGAGCATGCATCAACGGTGCCAGTGGGGCTTGCTACAGCCTTAGTCACTGGGGAGGTCCACATGGTATTATTGTTTAGAAAATCAAAAGTGATCTAACAGCCTGGTGTAAGTGTAGGGCCTCTGTGCTGCAGGAAGT